AGACAAGAATATTTGTAAGCAGCACTAATGACCTAAATTACAAAGCCAGCTCTACATTTTAAGGGCTGATGCAAAATCACCCCTACTATACCAGTCTGTAAATTAAATACAAAGCAGCAGAAAAACTCTACAATGGTTTCTCTCATTTATTTTTATTATGATGTGAATAATTCTTTTATATGCACATGTGATATTATTAGTTGCTCAGACTGGAAAACAATGTAGTTCAAGGCAGAATCAAGTCAAACAATACCAAAAACTTTCCTTGTGAGCATTCTTAACCAAGGATGTGTGTTAAAATCCCTTGGGGTGTGTTTTTAAACTGCTTAGTCAAACTGGAATGAATGTGCTAGATGAATGTACTTTCGAAATTCATGCTTCTCCCTCCCCCTGCCTACCTTAAGATCTACTGTTCCATAATACTATGAAGCAAGCAACATAAAAACAGGGACTGTGTGGCCCTCGCTGGTGGTGCAGTGGGTTAAAGCCCAGCACAAAGAAGCTTAAGCCACTTCTGCATGAGTCGGATCCCTGCCTGCCCCGGAGGAGATCCACATGGCGTGGCAGACCTCTCCTGACACGCCCGCTGCTCCCCTCAGCAGTGTACTTTGTCGATCTGCCTGTTCTGTACCCCACTCTGTCTCTGGTGAATCCTCTCACCCTCCACATCTCTGGCCTGTACCCCAGTTCTGTATGAATAAGTGAATTAAAAATATATATAAAAAAATAAAAAACAGGGACTGTGTGTTATTTTGCTCATGTCACTTTATTAGTGTCTAAACAAAAGTGCAATAAAAATGATTGCTTAAATGATTGCTTAAAACACATTTATCAAGTGACCCACATCAGATCCACAAAGATTTCATTAACTTTGTCATATCTCTCTAGGAATCCCAATACATTTCTCTGCCCTTCCAATGTATTAATCTTTTCAAAAATTTAAATTAATTTCACATGTCTCTTAGTGAATATATCAATATCTGATGAAAACCACTTCCTTTTCATAAAGCAACTCCTTAATGGGTTATTCTAAAATTTCATGAATTATTTAGAATTCAGCAGTCTACAATGTCTTTTATCATCTCACTTATTCAAGAGAAGAACATATTTTCCCATCCTTAGTCTTCTGGTCCCTTTCCTTTTCCTAGGTACTTGTCAAAGCTGTAATGACAACAACAAAATCTATAGACTTAGAATGGAGGCATTGTGATGGGGTAAACCTAGGGAAAAAAATGGTTGCTAGAACATTTGATGATTTTATTAACATGCCTTTTTTTTTTTACTTTGATGTCAACAATGCATGGTTTATTAGCTCGCATTCTGCTTGCTATGATGGAAATATAATCCTAGGGGTAAAAAGATACAATTTAATCTCAAAGAAACAACACTAATTATGGCTAATAATATATGTTTTTTAATAGCTAATAAGCTATGTTTTTTCACTATTTGCAAATCTAAAGTGATGAACAGATCTCACTGAAACTGAAGGTTGGGTCATGGGAGATAGTAGTGAATGGATTCTCAGCTCAAGTTTTGCCTGCATTCAGCTCAGGTTGCACCATATAGGTATGATCTCTAAATATACTCCATAAAACATTAATCTCGGGGCCCTCCCTGTTGGCACAGCAGGTTAAAGCCCAGTACTAAGAAGCTCAAGCCACTTCAGCATGAGTTTGATCCCCACTCTGGAGGTGGCCACATGGTGTGGCAGACCTCTCACAACCCACCCACTGCTCCCCTCAGCAGTGTACTTCATCAGTTGGCCTGTTCTGCTCCCCACTCTGTCTCTGATGAATCCTCTCACCACCCCTGCACCTCTGGCTTCTACCCCAGTTCTGTATGCATAAATGAATCTCTAAAAACATTAATCTCTTACATATTTCAACAGGTGAGGACAATCAACATATGACTGAGTAATATTTGTTACAGTGGGATCTTTTTTAAAAACCCTGATAATTTGTCTTCATCAAGATACTGAATGTGTGTATGTGTGTGTGTGTGAGAGAGAGTGTGTGTATTTCTAAGGCTCAGTACTTGAGCAAACCAGTTGAAATAGTAGGAAATATCATTGCTGCTATGATTGATATAGTGACATTATTTAAATCCCATCTCTCATTTCATACACTTATGTGAGCAGTTTTTTCCTGAATAAAACCATCTTCACTGTGAAAGAGGTTGTTTACTGCGCATTTCTTCACTGCATCAGTTAGAACAAGTTAAACATCTTTAACAGAACCAAATTAATTTATTTCTCTTGTATAATCCTTGTTGTTTCTAGTCAGCAAGGCAATTCTGTTCTACAAAATCACTGGGGGAAATCAGGTTTCTTCTATCTCTGCTGTGTCCTCCCTGGGGCAATGTGTCCCTGTGTCCCACAGTGAGAAGGGGGAGAGTATAGAAAAGAAACTGGAGGGCATTTTACCATATCAATCGGAAAGCAAGATTTTGTGTTTGTTCCAGAATACAATTGATTGTTTTCCTAGAGAAATTAGTTCCAATGGCTTCTTGCCACTTGTTGAATGATGTTTCACAATACAACAGCCTGGTTCCAGAGCCAATGCAGGGAAAGTCAAGTTTAGATAACCATCTGTGTTTTACTGAGTATACATCTGCTGGCTATAGTATATAAAAGTTCTATGTTTACAGTCTTTATTTTTAAACTTTGTTTATTCTTTTTAAAAGATTTGTTTATTTATACATACAGAACTGGGCTACAGGTCAGCGATGCAAGGGGTGAGAGGATTCACCAGAGACAGAGTGAGGAGCAGAACAGGCGGATTGTGAAGTACACTGAGGGGAGCAGTGGGCGGGCAGGAGAGGTCTACTGTACCATGTATATCACCTCTGGGGCTGGGGATTGAACTCACACTGAAGCGGTTGTGGCTGGCTTGCAGTGCTGCCCTTTAACCCACTGTGCCACCAGAAAGGGCCCTGAATCACTTCTGACCAACTGATCTATTTTCATGAACTGGGAATATAACAAAATGGCATTTAATAAGCAAAAGTAGTTCTATGCAAACAATATAGAAATGCATTAGCCAAGTGGAATAGGATCCTGTTAAATAGCACTTATTGAGACAAATTAAATAAAAAGGCAATTTTAGGATATAATTTATCATAAAATCAAGAGACTGTCAAGAGGTCAAGAAAGGTCTGTAGCAGCAGCATGGTGGCATCTGCTAAATTGGCTTGTAGACCAAGAAACCCAAATAGATTTAGACAGTTTATTATTTCTACTGATAGCAAAAGAAAGGTCAGATGGTATCCAATCTTTGGTTCCTAGTCCCACAGGCTGACAGCAAATAGGAGGGATTTGCTGACTGATCAAAGGAACTGTGGCTCACCCTGCTGTTGAGGAGTAGGGCAGGCGAGTAGGTACCCTCTTACATTTTGCCCACTATAGATGCCCATTTGCGGGCCCTTTTCCCATGCTATGTTTAGGAGCCAGCACCAAACTTAGGCAATTTTATACATTTATGCAGAAGTTTGTGGCTGTACCTAAGAGGCTGGGAAGAAGGTGCACCCATCACAGAAAATCCTGTGTTCAACTGAAGCCAGGAAAAAAAAAGAGAAATGATTTGTCTCCTTTAAGATACAGATGAGACACTGTCTCAAAACAAGCCCACACAATGGGCAGCTGAGCTGTACTTGTTCCAACAGGAAGTTCAGACCTCTCACTTATATGATCTTTGTGGAGATGTTCCAGTGGCTAGGCTGCAGCTATCAGATTGTTGCCCTAGAGACCAATATCTGAAATAAGAAGACAAAATTGGATTTATTGCTTCCTAATGTCAGGGAATGCTATGCTGCTGGCCATTCACAGTGTCTGCAAGCAGAACAGATCTTAAATTGAGTTCTGGGAGCAAGGAGTTCAGGGGCTGGTGAGCTTCCAGAGCCATTTCACCTGTAAGAACCTGGGGGTTGCTGATTGTTGTTACTCAGAGGCTTGTGCACTGGGCTATCTGGAATTGCCAGGTCTCAGAGGTGACAGCTCTTCTTGATGGGTTGACCTTGATAGATTCTGTTGTTACTTGTCTCCAGCTATACTTGCCTAGGCATTGGAAACCTTTTCTTTCCAAAAGGTCAATGTCAGTAAAATTGTCTAGTTATTGTTAAAATTTGTGTGACAACTGTGAACAGAATCACTCCATTTTGTTCTTTTTCTTCTGGAGCTGCCAGACTGTTTTAACATGTAAATTCCATTTGCTGGGCTGTGGAGACCACCATCAATTGCATCTAGAAAGACTTCAACTTTTGCAGGAAAGGGGTTGAGACTTATTTGTCTTTAGTCTCTGCATAGGCCTGGAACATAATAGGTGCTCAGTTTATGGATAAGTGAAGCATTAAAAAAAATCTCAATTTTCAAGAAAGGCAGAATAAAAGAGTTGAGAAGAAAACCTAGAAACTAGTTTTCACTAGGTTGCCTTTTGATAGTAAGACAGCTAAAGTAAGTGACAGTTATGTGAATAACAAGCTAAAAGTGCTTGTGTGTGCCCCATCACTTAATTGTCAGGATCCCAGATATCTGTCCCTGTGAGAAGGATCATGAAGATAAAAACTGTGCTGGGGACAACACCACCAATTTATTGAAGCCAGAATTTGTCCGTGGGCCAGGGATTGCAAATCTGGATTTGCTGGCAATTCCACCCATTTTCCATCATCCTCCCAGATCTACTTTGCGATGGGAGCGAGATGCGAGCCTTTAAGGGAAAACAGGGCCCTCCCTGGTGGCACAACGGGTTGGGACGCAGCACTGCAAGCTAGACGCTTCCGTGAGAGTTCTATCCCCGCCCCGGAGATGATCCGTCTGGCGCGGCAGACTTCTCCTGACCTGCCCGCCGCTCCCCTCTGCAGTGTACTTCGTCGATTTGCCTGTTGGGCTCCCTGCTCTGTCTCTGGTGAAGCCTCTCACCGCCCCTGCACTTCTGGCCTTTACCCCAGTTCTGTATGCATAAGTAAATAAGTCTGAAAAAAAAAGAAGGGAAAACGTGTTTACATTTGCGGGGCTGGAAGGAGGCGGACTGGCCGGGGAACCAACAGCAGGCTGGAGGCGGCGCCTGGACAGCATTGGCCCAGAGCGCGCCACTCCTCGCCTGGACAGCCAGGCGCGTGTGGGAAGTGGCAGAGCCAGACCGCGGGAGGCAGAGACAAGCTCAGTTGCAGAGGAAACATGGCCGAGTATTCCCGGGTGCACAACTCCCTGGCGCTGATCCGCCTCCGAAACCCACCGGTCAACGCGATCAGGTAACGGGCTCCACGGCCCCTTGCCTTGGGGTACATGCCTGCCGGCTCTGGAGGTGTTCACTCTTCTCTGCGGGTTTAAACCTAGAGAGACACTCACACAGGGGAACAAGTGCCAGGGCCTTTATACAAAAGTTAACTTGGTTGATCTCAGAGAACTCTTGCTCTGGTTTCACTAGAAACCAGAAACTGCAGCGCAGAGGCTGGCCAACCAGGAGAACTTGCTCTCTCGCACGCACCGGTCTGTCCATGCTGAACCGTTTTTGCTTGCTTGCAACCTTGACTTTCAGGCATACTTTGTATTCCAAAGATCATCCAACACTGCTAGCTGGACCTTGACTCTTCGACTTCAGGCCTCTTGTACATGGTGTACCTAAACATTTAGGAATCCGACAATAAAGCAGTTTCACATTTTTAGAAGTAAAGATTCCCTTTAATGCCAAGGCAGCGAGCTAAGAATTGCGCTCTGACCCAGAAATGCAAAGTTTTCTCTCCTGTTGAGTTCTAAACCACAGGGCCTTAGCGCTTTTGCGGGAGATCAGTGTCAGGGTAGTTATCAAATAGTATGTTCTGAAAAGCTGTACTTAGTATGCCCTTTATTTTACTTTATTTCATCATGTTAAGCTCTCCAACCCAGATTTGTGCAATGTACTTATCCCATTACTATTTTTTTTTAAAGATTTATTTATTTGTGCATACAGAACTGGGGTACAGGCCAGAAATTCAAGGGGTGAGAGGATTCACCAGAGACAGAGTGGGGAGCAGAACAGACAGATCAACGAAGTACACTGCTGAGGGGAGCAGTGGGCAGGTCAGGAGAGGTCTGCCACGCCATGTGGTCACCTCTGGGGCAGGCGGGAATCGAACTCATGCGGAGGTGGTTTCAGGTTCTTAGTGCAGTGCTTTAACCCGCTGCGCCACCAGGGAGGGCCCCCATTACTATTTTTTTTTAAGATTTTATTTATTTATTCATACAGAACTGGGGTACAGGCCAGAGATACGGAGGGTGAGAGGATTCACCAGGAAGAGAGTGGGGAGCAGAACAGGCAGATCGACGAAGTATACTGCTGAGGGGAGCAGCGGGCAGGGCAGGAGAGGTCTGCCACGCCATGTGGTCACCTCTAGGGCAGGCAGATCGAACTCATGCAGAATTGGCTTAAGCTTCTTAGTGCAATGCTTTTTAACCCTCTGTGCCACCAGGGAGGGCCCTTACCCCATTACTTTTAAAAAGTAGAACCCTGCTGCTTAAAAAAATAAAATTGTGTAGGTTTGGTTCTTCCATTTCTCCGAAAAAATTATAGCGATATTCAGCCTAGTCACTTATCCACAGGAGTAAAATTAGCAGAAATTATAACTTAAATAAAATACATAAAACATAAAACAAAGATATTGAACAAAATACTTATCACACACAGTTGGAGCAGAGATTGAAGTGAGGAGACCTGCCAGTTTCAACTGAATTTTTACCTGACTATATCAGATTTTATTGTACTATTTCATTATTTTTAAAAAGTATTTTTATATTTGAATTCTAATATTAAGTTATACTTAATTAAAATGTATAGTTAAAATGAACTATTTCATTACTAATGCTCATTTTAATATGCATTTAATTAATACCCCCAAAATTGCAGGATTAAAAATTACAAAAGGATGCTATGTCAACTCACTTACCATTCTCAGAAAAAAAGCAAAATATACATTATTTGGGTTTTTGCAAAGAGAACCAGAAGTTAAATGATTACATATTGATTTTGGCCTTGTCTGTGTTCTAATTTAGAATTATTAGATGTTCAGACTTTCTTTCCTACCTTCTACTCACAAAGGGAAACTCCCATCAAAACTTGGGGAGGGGGAGTTCTATAATCTAATACTCATAACTGGCAATATTTTCTTACAACTCTTCAAAATGTATCTGGTTTTTAACTTGCCTCCCTTACAGGAGAAATGTTGGTCTCTAGTTCATAAAGTTGCTGTTGTTTTCCAATGCGAGCACACTATTGAAAGGCATAGAAGCCAAACACCATGCCAGCAGCATTTGAGAAAAGAAATTATTTAATACAAAGTCACCTGGCAGGATACTGGCATCAAGACTTAAGTCAGTCTCCTCATGGAATAACAACAACAAAAGTGTTTAAAAAGATGCATGATGGCAAAGTCCAATTGCTTGCTTTCTGCTGATTCATGGTGTCACACAAATTTGTTCCCAACTGCAACAAAACTTAGTACTCCTCATTTATACATATGGTCTGTTTTATAATAAACCAGTCCTCCTAGACCCTTCCTCCATGACTTTTTCTATTTGGGCAAAGAACGGTAACTCTGAACTGTGAAAAGTACCTGTTAACTTCTGAAAAAAATTTGTTTTTCCATCATGGTTATGGGTTTTTGTCCCATTGTTTCACTCTTGCAAGCCTCGCATGCTGTTCTTGCAGATTATATAGAAACAGAAAAGGCTACAATATTATATTTAAGCCTAATATTATATTTATATTCATTATTATAACAATAATGGCTTCAATATCCTTGACAACAGTAAATGTTCTTTCTACTATTTTTTTTTAAAGAACAGTTGTTTTAAAAGATTTATTTATTTATGCAACAGAACTGGGGTAGTGAGAGTATTCACCACACAAAAAGTAGGGAGCAGAACAGGCAGATCGATGAGGTACCCTGCTGAGGGGAGCAGTGGGTGGGCTAGGAGAGGTCTGCCCCCACCATGTGGATCACCTCCAGGGCAGGGATTGAACTCATGCTGAAGTGGTTTTAGCTTCTTAGTGCTGTGCTTTAACCTGCTGCGCCACCAGGGAGGGCCCTCTTTCTACTATTTTTGCTGAAAAAAAAAAAAAGTGTTGGTCACAAGTCACAAAGTTGAACTTTAGGTAAAAAAAAGACAAAATATCACCTCACAAATATACCTCTGATAATCACAGAAACTAAAGCATTCTGGTCAGCACTCATGAGTTACCTTCACTCCAGACTGCATTCTCTATATTAAAGGGAGAAAACAATTTCTTAGGATCTCCCTCATGGTGCGGTCTCAGTTGGCCCACATGGCACAGCAGACCTCTCCTGCCTTGCCTGCTGCTCCCCTCAGCAGTAAATTTCAGTATATCTTTCTGAGATCACCCCACTCTGTCTCTTATGAATCCTCTCACCCCTGCTCCCACCTCTGGCCTACACCCCAGTTCTTATATGCATAAATAAATAAATAAAAATAGATTTTTTTTTAAAAGGTCTTCTTCATTTTATGAGGCTTTGACACATAGCTGCTGGTCTGGACAATCTGGCCTTTTTTTTTTTTTAAATTTATTTATTTATGCATACTGAACTGGGGTACAGACCAGAGGTGTGGGGGTGGTGAGAGACAGAGTGGGGAGCAGAACAGGCAGATTGATGAAGTACACTGCTAAGGGGAGCAGTGGGCAGGTCAGGAGAGGTCTGCCGCACCATGTGGGTCACCACCTCCAGGGCAGGGATTGAACTCATGCGGAAGTGGCTTTAGCTTCTTAGTGCTGTGCTTTAATCCACTGCACTACCAGGGAGGGCCGCCCTGGCTTTTATAGAAATTTGTTGTTTGCTTTGCTTTAAGATTTGTTTTACCCTGTATACTAAAGAAAAGACACTTTGCCTGGAATACTCAGAAATTCAACACAAAACGGATTGGACTCTTGTTTCATTATTTTTCTTTTAAGCAAGCTTTTGCCACTTTCCCTAGGTTCTCCTTCTTCACCATCCCTTGGCAGTTAGGATCCCTTGCTTCCTGGCAAATTCTCTTCATTGCTTTTCTTGGTTTTCATCACCTTCAGCTGAGTCACTGTACTGAGCTCTCCCATGTCTTAAGTAGAGGTGTATCCAGAAGTCTACTACCCTCAGCTGTCTTCTTTCTTCTTTTCCTTTGACAGGCTCATTCAATCTTGCCTTTAACGGTCTCATCTGTGGATGATGCCCCCATCCAACTAGAACTTGGCTAAACCTACTACACACTCTTTTATTCCCCCTTTACCTTACTCTTATCTCTTAAATTAGGTAGGATTAGGCTTGGCTGTCAAGGATTAAACAAGAAAAAGTTAATTTCTCTCACAGCATTATTCTGGAATGGCATGGCTGCTCCATACTAAGGACTCCAATCCCAATATATTTTTTCTCTGCCGTCCTCAATACATGGTTTCTACCTCTTGGTCCATAATGGCTGCTGCAAGTCTGGCCATCACATCTGCATCCTGCCAGGAGTAAGAAGGAAGCAAAAAAAGCCAAGTATACTCAATCTTTAAGGACTCTTCCCAAACATTGCTTAAAAACAAATCTGCTTTCATCCCATTGGCCAGAACTTAATGACATGGGATGAACTTCCTGCAAAATAAGTTGGGAAATATAGCCTATTTTGGGCAGCTATGTTAAAACCAGAGCTCTAATACTTTGAGGAAGGTATTAGAAGGATAGAGTGTTTGAGTTTGCTGCCTCTGCCACATCTCATAACCTATTTGTTTTAGACTATTTCAGGTTTCTTATATCTTGCCAATATAGCAGACTGAAAGTAATTTCCTCCCCTCTAAACTTTGGCATTTCTTTCATTGTATCTTTATTACAACATTCATCTTAATGTGATGTTTTGTGATAACATTTAGTTTTTCCTAGGATGTCATAAATTTTCCCTTTACAAAAATGACTTGTAGTATGATTAGCCTGATTCTAAGTGGTCAAATTTACAGCAGAGTGAAGGAACATACTTTTTTTTTTTTTTAAAGCTTATTTATTTCATTGTCTCGGTGTATAATTCACTGTAGACAATACTTCTTCACAGTTTTTACCCATCTTGAATGTCTTTGATTTTCACTGTTATGAGAGGAAAAAGCTCTGAAGTGGTAGAAACTTAATTCTGACTAAGCTTTGTGTATTTCTTCCCCCTTTAGTACTGCTGTACTGCAAGGAATCAAAGAGGGACTACAGAAAGCTGTAATGGATCATTCAGTAAAAGCCATTGTGCTTTGTGGATCAAATGGCAAATTCTGTGCAGGTAACCCATGTCTTATCTTCT